ATGGGACCTCAAAAGCCAAAGAAAAGGACCTTGCTGAATCCATTACAGAAAAGAAGGGGCACCAAACCTCCATAACACTCCCCAATTCCATGGCCCTTCAGTGCCCCGAAAGGCTGATAAGTGCCTGTGAATTTGTCACGATGCTTGTGGTCTTGAAGCCAAGTCTGAAGTCTTTCCAATGGAGTGAAAAATGGCTTCGGTTGTCCCTGCAAGTCCTGCTGCCACCAGCCACGGGTTGCAAACTCGGGGGCACTGACGTGCTTTTGGAGAAGGCAAGATGAATCCTCACACACCAAACATAACTGCCAGGGTGGTTGTTTTCTGCATTAATTGGGGAGGGATCCCGCGATACAAGTTTTGAAATCCACCCTCAACTGAAGCACTGCATCGTGGGTTTTGATTCCACAGAGCTGCCAAGAAATGGATCTTGGGAATGGGAAAGGTGCTGGCGACATTGTTGAAAGCTTCGCAGCCACCACACAAGGCTTCCCCTCACCAACATTGGTGACAAGGCGAGATGTCTTGTTTTGCAGATGTTAGGATCGGTGGCCTCTCTTCATGAGCCTCTGAATCTGTCGTGCTGCATAAGATCTTTCTGCTTCGTGAAGGATCGTTTTTTTAACCTGTGACACCAGCTGAGCCTGGTGGCTTGGGGGATGACAGCTTTTGGGCAACTTCACTGATTTCTTCCGTTGTTATGGGTTTGTCAGGGTCTTTCTTCTGGAGTCAGGTTTTTTTTTAATATATATATATATATATATATATATATATTTTAAGTTGTAGTTGTACACAATACATTTATTTATCTGTTTTTGTGTGGTGCTGAGGATCGAACCCATGGCCTCGCACATGCGAGGCAAGCGCTCTACCGCTGAGCCATAACCCCAGTCTCACTGGAGTCAGTTTTGATCACTGGATTTCTGGGGCCTGGGGTACCTGGCCTCACTCTCCCAGCCACTGTCCTGCAGAGGTACTCATCAAGATGTTGAGCAAGAAAAAAGGTAATGGCAAAACCGGTATAGGGAACTTAGGATGCTTAAATTAATCAGCCTTTTTGGGGTAAAATAAACCAACTTGTGTTTGAACTATATTATGCTGTGTTTGTCGGTGAGGGCCGCTGTAACAAAATACCACAGACAGGGTGCCTTAATTTACTCACAGGTCTGGAGGTTGAGAAGTTCAAGGGCAAGGTTCCAGGAGGCTTGGATTCCTGGTTGGGGTTATTTGACTGGCTTGCAGACAGCCTCCTTCACAGAGACAGAGAGACACAGGGAGAAAGAGATTTCTGGGTCTCTTTCTCTTCTAGTAGAGATACCAGTCCTGTTGGATTGGAACTCCACCCTTAGGACGTCATTTAACCTCTTTAAATGCTCCAAATACCATCATATTGGGGGTTACGCTTTCAACATGAATTTAGGGGGACATAATTCAGTTCATAGTGATTGTAAATGCCCAGCATAGCGCCCAGCCATGGTCAGCCTCAGGAGATGCCACCGGCTCTCAGTATTAATAGACAACGTTCTCTTGGCTCTGAGGACCTTCAGGCTGGTCCTGCCCTGTAAGGAATCCTGGGACATTCCTCCTCCTGTCTTTAGAGACACTTGGCCTGCACAGCTGCCTGTGGCCTGGGCGAGTCCTGGCCACTGCTCTGTGCTTTGGAGCCAAGGACTTCATGGCTCATGTGGCACCTGCTTCTGCACCTTGGGGTGCTTGCTTTCCCCTGTGTCCTGCCTGCTACTCAGAGTCCACTCTGCATGGAGGCTGGCCATCTCCTCAGCCTGGCCACCCCACTCTTTTCCCTGTGAAACCAGAACATTCGCTTCATCTCTTTGGCGTCTATCAGGAGGTGAGAGCAGTTAATGGAAAGCTGGGGGAGATGAGAAAGATTGTCAATGATGAAATCAGAGCAAATCAGCTTCTTCAACAGCCCCCTGGGTGGGTTCCCACAGAGCCAGCGCCTAGGAAGATCTTAGCTCCTCGGAGGCCAGGCAGATTGGTGGCACATTTTTTTTTCTTATTTGTAATGTCAGGGTTTACTCTTCCAGCAGGCCACAACTTCCAAGAGTGAGAGGGAAAGGTCCCCAAATTCCCCCAATTCATAGGAACGAGGGTATTTGAAGTTGTGTGTTAATTCTGCCCTGAGATGGCTTTCCAGTACCTGTTGGGCTCTGGCCAGCGTCACCGAGGATCCCAACATCTCCTGGTGACCTCCAGCCTACCCTGCACCCCGACATTTGGGGCATCGGATGTCAGGATGGTGCTGGATGGAGCTTCTCTGGTTCAACATGATGGAAACTTGACTTCAGTGGTGGTGGTGGTGGGGTTGCTGGTGGTTTGACCATTGTTCTGGACTGAATTGTGCCTCTCAAAATTCATATGCTGAATCCCTGATCCCCAGTGTGGCTGTACCTGAAGGTAGAATCTATAGGAGTGATTCAGGTTAGATGAGGTCACAGGGTGGTGCCTTCCAGCTGTAGAACTGGTCCTGCTAAGGAGAGAAAGAGACATCGGCATGTGCTCTCTGTGTCTCTGTGTCTCCCCCCTCTTTACCATGAGAGGATACACTGAGAGGGTGACTGTCTGCAAGCCAGGGTCCAGGCCCTTACCAGGAACCGAATCTGCCAGCACCTTGACCTTGAACTTCCCTACCTCTAGAACTGTGAGAAATAACTGTCGGTGTTTAATCTGCTGAGTCTAAGACATTTTGTTGTGGCACTCTGAGAAGATTAGTATGATCATCTCATACCCAGAGAGAAAAAGACCAATTTGAGGTAAGAGACCACCATCAATTCAGAGAGGATCTTGTGTCAATTCTCCTGAGCCCAAATCATATGAGCTGACAGCCCAAGTCCCCACTGGCTCTGAGGACTAGAGAATCTACCTCTGGCAGGTGTAGCTGGGGGGAGGTCTTTTCAGGGCAGCTATTTCTCCTGTTGCACTTCTCTGGAGGTTCAGAAGTGGGTCCTGACGAACAGCTGTTAGCAGTAGACTCTTTCAAGTAAGCTTATGACATGCTGCACCTGAATGGGGAGACACAAAAACCACTGTAAGGCGTTAAACACCAAACTGTTAGTAATCGCAGCAACTCAGGGGGCCGAGGTAGGAGGACCGCAAGTTCAAAGCCAGCCTCAGCAGTTTAGGAGGCCTTTGGCAGCTTAGTAAAACCCGGTCTCAAAAAATAAAAAGGCTGGTAGCTCCGTGGTAAAGTACCCCAGGTCTAATCCCTGGAGCCAAAAGCAAAAATAAAAGCATAACAACAACAACAAAAAGCGTCAAACTGTTGGCAAAACGAGAAGGAGTATTCTTGCTTCAGTTTATCATAATTCCAATCTTTCTCAAATTCATGTAGATTTGTCACAAAGATGCACCCTCGCTGTCCACCCAGTTTCCCACTGAGTCACTATTTCCCCAAGTTGTCTGAACCAGATGCACCACTTACAGCCTCGACAGAGCTGAAATTATGCCATGCTTGTCTTGGAAAACGGTCAATTTTGTGCAATCATCTAGACAATTCTCTTCCCCCCGAGAGGTTTTGTTAACATTCTTCTGGATCCAGACAGACATGGGACGGTTCATAGGCAGCACTGTCTCCAGAAACTGCGTTGATTCTCCCTGCTGAGAAGAGCATTTCTTGGGCTCTCCTGGCAGCTCCCCTGAGTGTGTGCCAGAGGTGTGCAGAAACCCAGCAGCACCCGAGAAAGCACATTCTGCTCTCCACGGGCGTCTGGGGTCACCAAGAAGCCACCACTTCCCAGGGCTGATTAGAAAATGAAAAAAGAAGTGAGTAGATCAAGGCGTTTTAATTGACGGTCAGCCTCTCCAGGTACTTGGATCTGCTCTCGCCTTGCCTTCCCCGTTGCTATGGTTTTATGTGTCCCCAAAGGCCCAGCGTTAAAGGCTTGGTCACCAGCCTGTGGCACTACTGGGAGTGGTGGAACCCTGAAAAGGTGGGGCCAAGTGGGAGGAAGTTAGGCCCTTGAAGGGGATTTCGGGACCCCCAGCTCCTTCCTGTCTCTTCACACCATGGCCATGAGGTGAACAGTTTCACCATGCACTCCTGCCATGATGAGCTGCCTTGCCCTGGGATCAGTGTGACAAGGCGAATCCATCATGGACTGAAATCTCTGTGAGCCCAAATGAACCTTTTCTCTTTTTTAAGTTAATTATTTCAGGTATTTTGTTACAGTCATGGGGACTGACTAATATACCCCTTCTGCCTGAATTTTGTGCCTGTCTTTTGGAAGCCCTGCTCCCTGGATTTTGTTACTGAATGCACCACTTTCACCTTCATTTGGTACTCTACTTCTTTCTGCATTTTCACAGGCAGATATTGATTTATTGTCCTTTGGCAATATTTATTTATTGAAATTATTATTCATTAATATAAGTCATATTTATTGCACAAAGAATTCAATAGAATTGAAAGTCTCAGAGTAAAAAGAATATATCCCCTTGATCCTTCTGTACCTGGAAGAATAAGATACCAGAGCCCCATTCCTCATAGTCACTCACTTTTTTTTAATATATATATATATATATTTAAAATTGTTAATAGACCTTTATTTTTATTTATTTATATGTGGTGCTGAGAATCAAACCCAGTGCCTCACACATGCCAGGCAAGTGCGCTACCACTGAGCCCCAGCCTCAGCCCAGTCACTCACTTTTGAACTACTTTTTTGGCTATTTCTTCTGGCAGTGACTTTTGTGCCTTTAGATAATATGCTTACATTATCATGTCTTTTTTTTTTTTTTTTTTTTTTTTTTTTTTTAGAAAGAAGAGAGAGAGAGATAGAGAGAGAGAGAGAGAGAGAGAGAGAGAGAGAGAGAGAGAGAGAATTTTTTAATATTTATTTTTTTAGTTTTCGGCAGACACAACATCTTTGTTTGTATGTGGTGCTGAGGATCGAACCCGGGCCGCACGCATGCCAAGCAAGCGCGCTACCACTTGAGCCACATCCCCAGCCCCCACATTATCATGTCTTGATCCATTGGAAACGTAGTTGTTTGACTTTTTGTAATGACAGAGTTACTTACCCCATGCTATTGTGTCTTCTATCACATCTTCTAGTACAGTTAAATCCATAATTAATATATTATTAGGATAGTAAGATAAATGTTGTTTACTGAGGTTCCAATATGCACATTTCCTGTCTTGTGGGAACCTTTTGTTTCTCCTGGAGTTTTTAATTGCCACATTTTTTTCTAGCCACTTGGATACTTTTCTAACCACTTTAAAAAAATATTGTCCTCAAATGTTCAATTTTAATCATTTATTTTATTAGTCTTCTTTCTTTCCCCAAGAGCCTTCAATTCTGGATACTTCCATAAACCCACCAAATCTGGACTGTTCCATCTTTAGGCCTGTGGCATATTCTTCTCGCTGGGCCTTCTCCTTCACTCTCCTAGCCTGGGCCCAATGCTCCTTTGCTCTTTCGTCTTGCTCATTTTGCCAGAGGTTATCCCAGTAGTTACTTAATAAAGGTGCAAAGAAGGTTAATTTTATGAATGCTGATATATATGAAAATGTCTTTAGTCTATCTCTGCACATGACTAATACTTTGCTAAATCTAGAATTCCAGGTTGAAAATAATCTTCCCTCAGGAATTTTTAGGTGTCCGTGTCTTCAGGAATTACAAGGCGCTATAGCACTGATCCCATGGTGTTACAGTCTCTGCCCTGAAGTTCAAGATTCACAGAGGTCGCTGGATACGCGCCCCCTACGATCCATTCCCCGATTGCCCGACACAGCACTTGGTGCTTCAGAATGACCGCCCCTCCTCGCACCTTTAAAGGTCTGCCTGGGTGGTTCCTGCGTATCATTACATCCCAGACAACGTTGTCTTCGTAAAAAGTCATCTTGGTATGTTCTCTGGAGGGTTCTTTGCCCTGTTATTGGGTTTGTTAAAAGATAGTCCCCCGGTACCTTGAGATTTTCCTTCCTTCCAAATTGGAACACTCATCTACTTCTTAGCACATCGGAGGGGCTGCTGCAGCCTGTGTTTGCATCCCCTCTTTTGGGGCAGTTTGGTGAGGACTGGGGGCAGTATTGGTGCCAGTGGCTCAGGGTGATGCTGTGCGTATGGAGGGGTGGGATGCAGGGAGGGCTGCAGTGGAGGGAGGGGCTGAGAGTCCAGATAAGGACGCTAAAAAGTGGCAGAGGAGCCCCCCGGTGGGAGGAGGCCTTCCAGCCCTGTCCTGACTCTGGGGACCTTTCTGCTCAGCCCCCTGGCTTGTCTGACGCCCCAGGCCTCTGCTGGAGGGAGGGAGAATGGGAGAAAAAAACTTGGTTTATGCAATGACATCAAAATTAATTCTAACTTTGAATTTTAAAACCTAGGGCTCTGGCCTCCAAGACAAGAACTCCTTCAGAACTGTGCTTCCCAAGTGGACTTCCGATCCAGATGGGGGACGGCCACTTCTGTCACCAAAGGAGAGCGAAAGATTACTCTCCCACAGATACGAACTCTTCAGTCTCCCGAATGCCCCAGAAGAGGGGCCTCTCTCTAAAGCTCCTGAGGAGAAGGACGAGGTCAGCTGTCCTTGATGCCCTGTGTCCCCAGGTGTGTGTGGTGGGGCTGGTGCAGTTTAGGGGCCGGGGCTGAGCCCTGTTAGCCCCCTCCCACCATTGCTCCCTGGTGTTCCAGGGTGACACACAGAGCCATCCCTTCTTCCTTTATATCCTCCCCTTGATCTTGTGATGCCCACAGCGTGTCCCAGCAGCCCAGGAGCTCCCTGTGGGTCCCTGTGCCAGGGACAATGCTCACTGACAATGCCTGTGCTTGCTCCCTGGGTCTCATCTGCAAAGATCACCTCGAATCATTGGCAGGGCCCTCCTTAGTGGGCAGGAGACAGGGGACATTGGAGACAACTACCTGCCTACCATGGACCCACAGCCTGTGGTCTGGAGGGCCACCCTGTCTTCCAAAGCCGGGTGAGACAGTTGTGACTGAGCTCAGGGCCAGCATGCTCTAGAGACCCTTTTCAGAAGGCACCATGAAAGCTAGAGCCAGCTGGGACATAGGAATTGTCCCTGAGTGACCCATGGGCTCACTTCCTTCAAAAAAAGGGTATTGAAACAAAAAGGCCCCGGAGGGGCAGGTCCCTGGAGCCCAGATCCCTTTCTGTCTGCACGCAGCCGAGGCCGGTCATGGGACAAGTCTTTCCGGCTTTGCATCAGATACTTCAAGAAAAGAGGCCAGAAACCTGTCCCAGGCCTCGCCCTCCCCTTAGATCTGGGAGTCAGTGCCATGGTGCTGGGTGCAGCAGCAGGACTGCTGTTCCAACTAACCAGCCCACCAGGGGACGGCCACTTGCGATTTTAAGCATTAATTCACACAATCTTCACAACAGCTGCATGACACACTCTGCATTTCCCAGAACACTGAAGCTCAGAGAGGTGAAGTGACTAGCCCCGCATCACACAGCTGTTCTCGGTGGAAGGGCCTGATTTCAGAGCCCAGCTCTATTCAGAGTCTCATGCTGGAGGATCCTTGGTATGCTCTTCTGGTACAGGGTGGTGGCTGACCTGATTAATGCTTGACAGGGTCCCCTCCAAAGCCACAAGCGTCCCATCAGACATGATGAGGCACTGGAGGGCAGGGAGGACCTCACTCTCTATGCCTGTGTCCTCGGCGGTAGTGACAACATGGGCTCCCTCTGTCCCTTTCACTGCCTCTGAGGGACAAGGATCACATAGCTGCAGTGTCCACAGGAAGATTAAAAACTGAGTCTGTGTGTCAGGACATCGTGGTCCCTGTGGGAGCTGGGTGGACTCCCTGCCTGACCACAGGGCCCTCTGCCTCTATTCACTGGAGCCCATGAGGTTTCCTTTTTTTTGGACAGGGGATTGAACCCAGGGGATCTTAACCACTGAGCCACCCATCCACCTATCCAGCCGTTTTGATTTGATTTGATTTTTTATTTAGAGACAAGGTCTCACTAAGTTGCTGAGGTTGGCCTTAAATTTGTGATCCTCCTCCCCCCAGCCTCCTGAGTCACTAGATTTACAGCTGTGCATCGGCATACCCAGCTAGGACCATGCTGTTTTGACTGTGGAGTTGGGATGTCAGACCCGAGAGCCTAGGAGGCTCCTCTTTCTGCCTCCCCTCCCCTCTTGGAGCATACTGCTTGTCTTATTTGCCACCATTTTTTTTGTAAAAATGTTTGAACAAATGGAAACATTGAGAGTGAGCACCCAGACACTCATCCCTGGTTTCTACGGCTCACATGGACTTCTGTTTACTTTTTTGCACATCTAGCCATATATCTCCATGATGGCCCACCTCTTTTTTTTTTTTTTGGCAGTGCTGGAGGTCAATCCTGGAGCCTCATACTTCCTAGACAACTGCTCTATGGCTGAGTTACACCATGCCCACCCGCCACGTTCTTTATACTAAACCACTTGCTTGGATTTTAAAAATTTAATTGTGTTAAAATACATTTAACAAAATTCACCATTTGTATCAGTCAGTTTTCCATGACTGTAGTGAAATGCTTGAAGTAATTAACTTATAAAGAGAAAAGTCTATTTAGCTCATGGTTCTGGAGGTGCTAGTCTGAGATTGAGTGGCCCCGTTGTTACTCAGCACATCACGGTGGAAGCCTGCATGAGAGTAAACTGCTTACATCTTGAGTCAGGGAGCAGAGAGAGACTGGGGGACTGGAGTTCTGCTATCCCCTCTGAGGGCACACCCCCAATGACCTAGGATCTCCCACTAAGCCCCACCTCTTAAAGATCCACAGCATTTCTCAACACTGCCACCTTTAACCAAACCTTTAACACATGGACCTTTCGGGGACACCATCCTTTGGGGGACACTACCATAGTGCCATCTTAACCATTTTTAAATCTACAGGGGAGCAGCACTAAGCATATTCACATATTGTGCAATCATCACCACCATCCATCTCTAGAACTTTCCTACTTTCCCAAGCATAATTTTTCAACAATTAAACAGTATCTTCCCATTTTTCTTCCGTCCCTATGGCCCCTGAAAACCGCCATTCTGCTTTCTCTCTGACTTGGACTACCACAAGTCCCTCACAGAAGTGGATCGTACACTATCTGTCCTTCTGTGTCTAGCTTATTTCACTCAGCAGAATGTCCTCAAGGTTCATCTGTGTTATAGCAAGTGTCAGAATTTTCTTCCTTTTTAAGGCTGAATGATATTCCGCTGTATGGATAGACCACATTTTGCTTATGCATTCTTCTGTCAATGAACACTTGGGTTGCTTTCACTTTTTGGCTATTGCAGTTAAGGCTGCTATGAATATTGATGTACAAATACCTTTCAAGGCCCTACTGTTAATTCTTTGAGCTACATCCTCATGTCTTTAATTAACAACACATTTTTCTCTGGAATGCTGTCAGAAGAAGATAGAAGAAGGTTCCCAAGGTGTCTGCAGAAGCCCAGGCGGCCTCAGTGACAGGTACCAGGGGATGGGTTGATTCAGAGGGACTGAGGCTCAACCTTGGTTTTTTTCTGGGTGAACCATTTTGAGTCCCAGGAGGGCTTCAGTGTTCTGTTGTGGCGTGAGACGATGAGTTTGGTGATCCCCAAAGTCAATGCACTGATGATCAAGAAGAAGGAACTGCGAGGCTCTGAATGTCTGTCCTCCCTAAAATTCACATGTTGGAATCTTACCGCAGGTGACGGTATTAGGAGTGGGGCTTTGGGATATGATTAGGTCACGAGGACGGAGTGCTGAATGGGATTGTGTGCTCAGAAGAGGCTCCAGGGAACTCGCTCAGCCTTTCCCCCATGCGAGGACCCTGAATCAGGGACACCCCTTGCCAGATACCAGATCCTGGCAGCTTCATTTTGGATTTCCAGCCTCTACAACTGTTAGGGGAACAGACAGATGAGCACGGTGGGAACACGAGGTTAGGGGGATAATTCTATAAAGTGGGCCACTGTGCGGACCCCCACATGCTTTCTTTGCCAAAAAGCAATTTACCTGCAGCCCTGCCTGGCCTAACTGGACAGGATAAGTCACATTCCTCAGCAAGCTACCTGTTATCTGCAAGGAAATGCAGGCAGGAAATCACGTTGATAAGAGGAACCCAAGTTATTTTGAAGGGAGAGATTTCTGTGACCCTTTTCACAGACCAGATTCTGGAAGATAAAGATAATTCTTCTTAACTCTAAAACCTGTAAAAATGACCAAGAATCCGATTAGAACTGGTCAGCATGGCCAAGGTGACATAAAACTGTCATAGCAGTGGGGACTTGAGAGTCTGATGTCAACCTGCTGTCAGTCAAAAGCCAAGAGGTGGACCTGCCTGGGACTCTCTGAAAACTTCTCTGGGATCCTCAATGAACCTGGAGTGCAGGGGAGGCACATTGTCCCTCTGCTCTCTGAAAGGACCCACTCTCTCCCTGGAGAGTGTCCTCTTGGCTTTTTCCTGTCCCTTCAATAAACTCCTTCCTGTTCCTTTGAGTGACACGTCTGAACTCTTCTGACGTGATCATAAGAATCAGGGTTTGAAGAGGGGTCTTTGCATTGCCTAGTTTCTCGGAAGCCCCCCCCCCCGGCCCCAACACTGACTATGAACAACGAGTCCCTGTTGTTGGCAGGTCCCCAGGCCTCCGGTATTTTGTCATAACCACACAAACGAGCTATGAACTAATGTCACTTATGAGCTGAGATTTCCAGAAGGCAGAGCCTGGGCCCTGGGGCGGTTGGTGGCACAGTGACATAGGGTGACATAGGAAGAGCGAGGTCCACCTGCCTGACGTGCAGGTGTGGGTTGCAGGTTGAGATGCCATGTTTTCCTTTGGTTCTGTCTGCTGTCCCTAGCTGTCACAATGGGCCAAGTCATCTTATTACCTTGTTTTTAAAACCTTCAGTCTTTATGAATACAATTCAGCAGTTGCTGGCAGAACAAGCCCCGGCTCCCTCCAGACCACAGAGGCCTCCTTGGAGGGGAGAGGACACACTTTCACGCCTTCTGCCTGCAGAACACATAAGTAAAGGTGACCGCGAAGGTCACAGAAAGGGAGGGGAGGCTTGATTGGACCTGCCCACCTGCTGGGCAGAGGAACAGGCTGCAGCTTGTTCTCAGGCCCTGCCCTGTGGGAATGGAAACCAGCTGTGGGCCAGGGGATGTCACCTTGGGGAAATGGGTCCTTATCCTGTCCTTAGCCACCGTGGCCTGTGCCATCCCAGATTTGAGGTGTGTGTGCCCAGACTGGGACCATGTGGGTAGGAAGGGTGGGGGCACTTTGAGGGAAACTGAATCTGAGCCCCAAATCTTATCTTGTTCTGTGACTCTGCAGCCTCCTCCTGACCCCATCCTGCAGGACTGCTTAGTGTCCCCAGGTGTAACGAGGGACCTGGAGTAAACAGAAATGGAGAGATCTAAAAAAATGGGGTTCTTAGGGATGGAGGGGAGTCTGGAGAGTGAGTGGGGGGCAGGGCTGTGAACCCAGCCTGGAGGGGAGGGGCTCCCACCTTTTTCTGTTTGAAAACAGAAACTGCGTCTGACCAAGTGGTCAATGGTGACAAGGTCGCAGCACCTCCTGGTATGTTTTAAATGATTTTTCCAAAGTAGGGCGGAGTTCTAGCCTTAAGCAGGGGTTAGAGTCATGGGTAGGAGCTGGTAACAATAAAACTTTGCCCCTCCTAATACTGGAGGGGTCTGTAGGGAGGGGCAGTTTCCCCAGTATTCATACTCAATCTCAGGCCTCCTCCATTTAAAAAGGGGATTCTGAGCCGGGTCTAGTAATACACCCCTAAAATCCCAGCAGCTTGGGAGGCTGAGGCAGGAGGATTGTGAGTTCAAAGCCAGCCTCAGCAAAAGCGAGGTGCTAAGCAACATAGTGAGACCCTGTTTCTAAATAAAAAATATAAAATAACGACTGGGGCTACGTGGCTCAGTGAGTTCCATCCCTGGTCCCCCCAGCCCCCACCACCAAAAAAAGGGAATTCTGCTTCCATTGTGGGTATCACACCAACCTGAGGAGCAGTGTGGTTCAGTGACACAGAGAGAGGGTGCTATTGTGAGTAAAATGAATGACAAATCAGGGCGGGTGCTTTTAATGCCGTGCCATGCCCTCCCTCACCCCCAGGAAGGCTGACCTCAGGCAGTGCTGGAAGCTCGGAGCTCCCCTGGACCCCCGCGTCCCCATGGCACCTGGAGACCAGCACCCCGCTGTTTACAGCTGGGATCTGCCTGCACAGATCCGATGCCAACTCACCTGCAAAACCCATTCAGTGATGGGCTTAAGACCGAGCTTTGGGGTCTCCGGAAGCCCCTGAGAAATGATGCTCAGGACCTTTGGATACCTCTCTGCAGCAAGGAAACCATAGGTTTGAGATGAGATGAGATTCCCCACTTCACCAATTTCCTTCTGGGTTCTTGACTCACAAATCTGAAGAATAATAGGATTTATTTATTGTATAGGTGAGATGTTGAGAGCCACAGCAATTTATGTGAGCAGAGATATAACTCCCTGATGTGGGGCGGGGCCTGATGGCAGGAAAACCCCATTTTAGTTTTTTGCTGCTTAGGGGCTCATACGATTTTGGGATATGAACGTGGATCAAGATCACTGTTGACCAGGCACTGAAAAAGTACCAATCCTATAGGTTGTGTCCCTAAGCCTGAGTTTTGATCCTTCCTGTACCTCCCTTCGGGCTCACCTCCACCTTCCTCCCCATTTTTGGTGGTATGGGGGTACCAGGGATTGAACTCAGGGGCACTCGACCACGGAGCCACATCCCCAGCCCTACTTTGTATATTATTTAGAGACAGGGTCTCACTGAGTTGCTTAGTGCCTCACTTTTGCTGAGGCTGGCATTGAATTCACAGTCCTCCTGCCTCAGCCTCCCAAGATGCTGGGATTACACGCGTGTGCTACCACGCGGGGCCGTAGTCTAATTCTTGTGACTCTATTAAACAAGAAGTACAGAGAATTTTGAGGCTCAGCCCCTGAAGGACGTTTCCCTGGTCCAATATGAAGGTTCATGTTCCACCTGCGTCTTTTCTCAGCTCTCTGCAAGGGCAGATGGAGGGAAGTGAGCCAGGAAATTCTCACCTTCTGAAGAAATGCAAGTAAATGCAAATGGTACAAAAATCAACAAGAGGAAGCAGGTCCTGAGTCAGGGGTTTGCATGTGTCAGGGGTTCCTGGGAGGCCCTGCAGCCTCTGTGATGTCTGAGCCTCCAGGCCCTGCGGGGGGGAGGGGCTGGTTCTTTGGGGGAGAGGTTCCCAGGCCCCAGGCAGAGGGCTCTCCTTTGTCCTGGAAAGGGTTAAAAACAAATAAATAAAATAAAAGACTCCACTCTCCTCATGGCCAGAGCCAAGATGGAGCATGATTTCGGCATCTCAGGAGCCGGTTCCATCAGAGGGAGAGCTACCCAGACTCACCATAGTTCCGGGACCATTTTTGTGGGTTTGTAGAGATCACTCCACCAGCAGGGGGCCCATCACTCCAGCCTAAGAGTAACC